TCAAATGGAGGGCAATTGTGATAGCTGCATAATGGATACAGGCTCCCAGGTTACCACAGTTCCCGAGTCTTTTTACAATCAGAACATGCCACAACATGAGATCAGAGCAATCCTTGAGCTTTTGGAGGTTAAAGAAGCCAATGGCTAATCTATGCATTATCTAGGCTACATTGAGATTAATGTTGTATTCCCCAAGGACTTTTTGGGTGCTGAGGTTGAAGTAGAGGTCTGCGCGGGAATGTTTTTTTAGTCCCGCTCCCGCAAGGTTTTGTACCGCACCCGACCGCTCCCGCTGTATATTCAGTCTTTGTTCACCCGCTGCCCGCTTAGAATAATTTTCTACCCGACCCGACCGTTCCCGCTAAATTTAGATCTGGTTTCCAAAATCTCACATTTAAATGGGGTACCACCAAAAAATAGAGATAACAGATAAAACTGCAGGTTGTGCAATGATTGTATTTATTTTTCTTAAACAAGATGCATTTATCTGTCAACATGCAACATTTATCTTTTAACATGGAAAACGTGTTGCAAAAATAAAATAAATAAAAACGAATACAGCATTGTGGCCTACTTGTTATTTTTATGTAAAATACAAACGTATCTCACAGACATCGAATTTTCCTATTCTTGCTGCTGTGTCGACCAAATGTTGGGCCAGCTGTGTGAAGCCTTTTCCAGAGATGGTATCATACGGTCGAATGTCTTGGCAAACAAACTGAACACATTTGTCTCTGGTTTCTTTTTTAAACTTCTCTGGCACCAGCAAAGATTTAGTAAATGCCAGTTTTGTTTGCCCCTTTGTGATGGGACATGAGTGCCGCCTTAAACCTGAGGTTCCAGTCTTGTGACTGCAAAAGGGTAAAACTTTGAGGCATTTATCGCATTGTACAAAGGGTAATTTTTTTCCATTTGCGTCTATGACGCATGAAAAAGACTCCCATACATCAGACTTGCCTGATGTGGGTTTCCTTAAAGTAAACTGACCGTTGTCTAATCCCAGCTGAACGTCCTTCAAGGAAATTGCATCTTCAGTTTGCTCTGCCATGTTGGTAAAGCGCGCTCTGATGCAGGTGATGCGCGCACAGAGTCACAGACTGTGCAAGTAAAATGCACGTGCAAAAAGCACTGATCCATGCGCTCAGTGCGTGTAACAGGCGTGAGCACTGGCTGTACCAGTGCTCAATTAGAATGAGGAAATCACAGATATGCTGTTCCGAAAAAATGTCGGGCACGCTATATTTTCAGACCGCGCGCTCCCTGTTCAAATTACACCGAGTTACCGACTGCTACCGCATTTTATTTGGAAATTTATTCCCGCGCCGCAAGAAATCTGGTCGGCTCCCGCGGCTCCCGCGGGACAGCCGCGGGAATGCAGACCTCTAGGTTGAAGTTCTCACACTTGCATTAGTGGTTCTAGATGACTTGACTTTGGGAGATCAGGTAAAACACTGCGTAAGCTGTCTGATGAGATTCCATTTAAGCACAGTAAAGCTGTCCAAAAGCATTTGCAAGAACTTAAACAGCCAGGTGTAATCAGGGAGTCCACGTCACCATTCTCTTCGCCCATAGTGGTGGTGAGGAAAAAGAATGGGAACACGTGTCTCTGTGTTCATTACAGGAAGCTCAATTTGCAGACAGTGAAAGATGCTTATGCGCTCCCGAATTTGGAGGAGACCTTCTCCACGCTGAGTGAGTCCCAGTGGTTCTCTGTCCTCGACTTAAAATCTGGCTGGCCATCCCTCCCTAGTTCTGCTGGGGGTTTCTTCCTGTTAAAAGGGAGTTTTTCCTTCCCACTGTCGCCAAAGTCCTTGCTCATAGGGGGTCATATGATTGTTGGGTTTTTCTCTGTATGTATTATTGTAGGGTCTACCTTAAAATACAAAGGATCTTGAGGTGACTGTTGTTGGTGATTTGGCGCTGTATAAATAAAATTGAATTGAAATTAAATCAATACCGATCCTATCACTATGGGACTTGGTACTGCCTTGTATCAGGAGCAGGAGGGTCAGATAAGAGTCACAGCATATGCTAGCAGGGTTTTGTGTAAGCGTGAGTCTCATTACCATGCCCACAAATTAGAGTTTTTAGCCCGAAAGTGGGCAGTTACGAAAAAACTTTGTGATTACCTTTATGGTAGCCAGTTCAGTGACAGTAGTCCTTTAATATATGCAGTGAGCTATCGTTGGCTAGCGGCACTTTCTATGTTTAACTTTTAGCTTCAGTGCAGAGCTGGAAAGCTGAATTCTGATGCAGATGGTCTTTCAATGTGACCACATCGAAAACTGCTCAATGACACCGTTTCACAAAAAAAGAGCAGGAACGTACATTCAGTGAACAGTGGTTCACTGAAACAGATCTGTCTGGTCAAGGAATCACCCTTGGCCAAATGTGGTACCAGCTATCTGTGAGAAGCATCTCCTTGGCTGTAATCCAAGTGAAAACACAGACGTGGAGTGTGCGTTCACCCTAGTACACTCAGCCTTGTCTGTAGCTGCTATACCAGATGAGTTTGTAAATGAAGATCAGTGTGATGATTTACTAGTTATTCCCCACATGCCAGTAAAGCAGCTAAGAGCAGATCAACAAGCTGACCCATGTTTGAGGGAAACCATAGCTCAACTTGAGACTGGGAACAAGGTTTAACCCAACTTTAGAAAGCAACTGCCTGATATCCCCTTGCTAATTAGACAATTCAGTCTTCTTGAGCTACACAATCAAATACTGTACTGGACACATCAAGTTGTTGATTCTGTAACCTGACACACTGTTCTTCCGGAACAGTTTCGAGATGCAGTCCTCCAGAGTCTCCATGATGATATGGGCCGCTTACGCATTATACAGACTCTCAACCTCGGTGAGAACAAGATTTTACTGGCCAAGCAGATGTTGAGGGAAAGATTTTGAGAGAAAAGATTAAAACCTGTTAACACTGTGTTCTGAGAAAGTTCCTTCCTGAAAGCGCCGCTCCTTTGAGCCTATCATGCTCAAAGGACCAAAAGAGCCTGAGTAATATTCAGGACATTTTTGTACCTACAGACCAGTTTATTAAGTAAGCCATTGCAATCCCAACACCAAACCAGAAAGCTCAAACAGCCAATTGTCTGTGGGGTAATTTCATTGTCCGCTATGGGATTCTTGAACATTTGCACAGTAACCAAAGGCCTGACTTTGAATCACACATCATCAAAGAACTTTGCAAAATCATGGGTGTTCACAAAATACATACCACACCCTACCACCCTACCAGTGGAAACACTGTGGAGTGTTTTAATAGGACTTTGCTGAACATGCTTGGCACATTGGAAAACAAAGGCAAATCACAGTGGCATAGCTATTCGAAACTGTCGGTCCATCCGTACAATTGTACAAAGAATGATATAACAGGATTCTCATCTTATGAATTAATGTGTGGTTGTCAAACCAGATTGTCTGTTTTAGTGCATGCTGTCTGCCTGAGAGGGAAACATAGTGGGAGTCAGATGTTTATGTTGCGGTAAAACAAGATAGAGATCTCCCAATTTACACCATAAAACCTGAGAACAAAGAAGCTTCTTGGCGAACTGTTCATCAAGATCTCTTACTCCCGTGTGGCTTCATCACACCAACTGGGGAGAAGCCTGTTACGACAAAATTCAAGCACAAGCCAATAACGCGGTTAGCTAAATAGTATGATGAGACTGAGCCTTCTGAGACAGAGGAGGATACCATCCGGCTTCATGAGAGGCTTCCCAAAGAAACCACCCAATTCACCACAATATATGAGGTTCCTAAATCATGCTCTGATAGAGCTGATAGTGAGATAGTGCAGCCAAGTTTAACTGAAGACTGCTTAGGCGTCGATGACACAGTGATCAGAAAAAACTTGTTTCATGATAATCCAGAGACCACTGTAGAGTGAAAAACACTTGGCTGCTGATGCTCCCGAAAATGAAAGTGACTTAGCAGACATGTCCACTTTCTAGGGAGACGTTCTCCGAAGTGGAGAAGACTCTGACATTGACCCTAAGGCCATTAACAACAAAGATTCACAGCAAAGTGTGGAAGGTTAAAAAAATGGACACTATTAGGCATTCAGTCAGAAGCAGACTTCAACCAGAAAGACTGCAGTACACCCACTTGGGAAACCCACTGATATCTATTGTGCAATATTTATTCCAAGGCTTGAGCTTAGCTTTTACTGATGATTTACAACAGAGCAAAGTTTTGAAAGTTCACCAGGGGCTATTCCCTCAAGTGGTGAAGTCACAGCCATTTCCGATGCAAAGTGACTTGCATAACTTTAGGAGAACAAAACTAACTCTGGTTTCATGACTGGTGAAATGTAGAAACATTTTGAACTTGCCATTTGTACAATACATTAAAGTAACTTGAAGTAACTCTGACCTCGCTCTTAGGTCAGAGTTTTTGATTTGGAGATCAAAGGACTCAAAGTCCCCAGAGAACTTCGAATATTAGACCTTCTGGAAATCCACAGAAGGAGAATGATCTTCCATTGCAATGGATGTCGTGCCACAGCCCATTTGGAACTCAATCTTGCAGTCTGATTGCCTGAGTTGGGTTAGGGTTAGGACAAACTGTGCAAACCGTACATCAATCGTTAGACTGATTTCACACCAATAAACTGCTGAGATCACCCGACAGGCCTGAACTGGATAACACTGATAACTAAAAGGCCCGGGTCTTACTTTGGTATCTGTGCGCGCACACTATTTTGGTTATTGTAGTTGGTTGATATACAGTGCAAGAAATTTTAATACAACCAAAGCTTTGCTTTACTTATTTTTTTGTACACACTGGTTGCAGATGCCTGCTCCTATGTTTTTTTTTTTCATAATTCATTTGATTCATTCTTACTCTATCAGAATACATCAATTTGTTGGAAAACATTATTATAAACTAATCAGTGTGTATATATATGAGTACACAAAAAGAAAAAGAAAAAAAGAATTATACTCCACCAAGTCTGTTATTTTAAGAGGAGAAAAGATTTGCTGTACCTGTGGAAGAGGACAGATTTAACCAGCGTCACCACATCTCGACTTGCGTTGTAACCTGCACATACAATGGCCACATGGATGGTCTGAGGAGAAAATGACAAAGTGATTAAGAAGGAGAGATGTGCACAGCACAAGGAACAAAGTATAACTGTGAATTGGCTTAGTAAAAGAAAAAGACAACACTGATTGTGTGTTGGAGCATTCATTAACTCATTCCACCTCAATTCAAAGGGCAATTATAGTAACTGTCAAACAAAAGTTCTCAGACGTGTATAAAACTCAACTGTAAGATGAAGCTTTGTAAAATCTAATGAACTTTTAATGAGAAGATTGAGGAAATAGATTTGATAATACTTTTATGATACTATACTATGTACGCATATGATAATATCTTCATACATTTAGAGCAGATATTCTAATAATTCTCAAATATATGTTGACTTCACAACATATAGTTGAACAGATGGCTGGAAGTTCTCCTTTATGATATTTTGGTAGACGGCAGAATTCAGGGTTCCATTTACCACAGCAAGTCTTCCAGGCTCTGCAAAAGCAAAACAGCCTCAGACCTTCACACTACCACCCCCATATTTTACTGTTGCTATGACACTCCTTTTCTGAAATGCTGTATCACTTTTACGCCAGATGTAATGGGACACACACCTTCCAAAAAGTTCAATTTTTGTCTCATCAGTCTATATTTTCACAGGAATCTTGGGGTTCATCAAGATGTTTTCTGGCAAAACTTAGATGAGCCTTTATGCTCCTTTTGCTCAGCAGTGGGTTTCATGTTGGAACTTTGCCATGCAGGCCATTTTTGTCCAGTCTCTTTTTTATGGTGGAGTCATGAACATTGACCTTAATTGAGGCAATTGAGGCCTGCAGTTCTTTCAATGTTGTTCTGGCTCTTTTGCGACCTCTTGGATAAGTCGTCTCTTGGATGAGTGGGGTAATTTTGGTTGGCTGGCCACTCCTGGGAAGGTCTTTACATCGCAATAAAAAGCCCATTGAAACAACTGCTGCTGTGATTTGGTGCTATATAAGTAAAATTAGAATCAGAATCAATCAGAATCAGCATACATTATTAATCCCTAAGGAAATTGTATGGTTATGGTTGCTCCCAGACAATAAGGACAGTAACTGAACTAAATTAAATAATACATCATATTACAGAGTTGCAAAATATAACAAATAGATCTTGTCTATATATAAATAGGTCAATTATAAATATACAGAATATTACAGAGATTAAATTGTACTCTAAACTTAAAAACTTTATTTTCACTGTAGAGGATGTGTAAATATTTGTGCTGTCAGCATTAACCTCGTTAAAATGACGTTACCGTTAGCGTTGTTAACGCGTTGACCCTGTGCAGCCCCACGCACAGGGTGATCCGTGTTAACTCGCTAAAGGAGATTTGCCGCGTTAATGGAGTTATTGTGTTAACGTCATTTTAACGAGATTAACGCTGACAGCACTAGTAAATATTAAGGGTGTAACTATTAAACTGTACAGTGCATTAGATGGAGGAGTTGTACAGAGAAATAAGCATTGTCTGAGAAATGTTAAAAGACTAGCTGCCCCAGAAGATAGAAACGACTCTGGCCCTTCCTGCAGAGTGTAGTGGTCTCTTTAATCCAATCCAGTTTATTATCAATCTGTACACCGAGGTATTTATAGTCCTACACAATGTTCACATCAACTGCATGGACTGAAACAGAGTCGCAGTTTTCCTGGTCCTGCTAACATCCACAATTGGTCCTTTGTGGTGTCCCTGTGTTGCTGATCACCTTGCCATACACAAATGTTGAAGACGCACATATTGTGGTCATTCATTTAGGTAATTAACAATCCTGGACACAAAAGAGGCATCCACCTGCATCGCTATCGGCTTATCACCCGAGAGGGTTGGTCTGATAGTTCTGAATGGACTGGAAAAGTCGAAAAACATGACCTTCACAGTGCTCACTGGCTGGTCCAGGTGGGTGTAGACACGACTGAACAGATGATGATGTCCTCAGCTCCAAGGAGGAGCTGGTAAGCGAACTGAGGGGATCCTGATGTGGCCTGATAGTAGGTCGAGCTGGTCAAAGATGAGTCTTTCCAGGGTCTTCATGATTTGGGATGTCAGAGTCTGTGGTCTTTGGGGCTGGTGGGCCCTGGGGTCTGTGGTCTGTGGTCGCGGCATGATGTCTTCCACAGCACTGGGACCCTCTGCCGACTCTGACTCATTTATGAAAGACTCCACAACACTGGGGGGCACAGGCCTTGAGGACACGAGGACTCACCCCGTCTGGTCCAACAGACTTGTCTAAGGGGAGTCTTCTCATTTGTCTCTGAACCTGGCTGAGAGTGAAAGTAATACCTGGGGGAGGGGTGTCAGGACTTTTACAGGAAGCTATGGTGCAATGTGTAGAGAGAGTGGCGTGGCTGTGGATCGCAGGCTGACTACAGGTAAGTCAGTAGGGGAGTGAGCATTCACTGCAGTGTTGAATCTGTTGAAGAACACATTCAGCTCGTTGGCTCTGTCCTCATTGTCCCCAGCTCCTCTGCTGTTGGATGGGCCTGAATTAGGTGATTCATGCTATTCCATGCCTCTATCATGCTGTTCTGCTGGAGTTTTCACTCCAGCTTTCTCCTGGAGTCGTCCTTACCCTCTATGGCCTTGTCCTTCAGTAGTGCCTGAACCATTCTCACCTCCTCTCTATTGCCCATTCTGAAAGTCCTCTTCTTGTCATTGAGGTGAGCTTTGATGATTTGAAGCCTCTTTTTTTTAAGAATATCTTATTTAGCAGTTTAGTAGAGAATATGAATAAAAAAAATAAATTAAAAACAGTTCAAACAAGAATCAGACAAATATGTCGGCTGCCAGACCATGAGAAAGTTCAACAAGAAGAAAAGGTACAGAAACAGAGGTTATAGTCACAGTAGGAACCCTCGGATAAACAAATGAATTAGCAAATCGCTCTACCTAAAAAGCTGACATAAAATGAGTTGACATAAAGTGCTCTTATAAGCGCAGATTGATGTTACACTCAGCCAATAAAGGCCACCACATCCTCCCAAATTTGTCTCTAGTACCAACTGTATTTAGTTGAAGCTTTTTCAGTTGTAGAACAGACATCTCGTTGAGCCAGTGTTCAAAACTTGGTTGGGTAGCTGACTTCCAAGTCAGTAGGATGAGTTTATTTGCCACCTCCATCCCAAGGTGCACAGCCATCTGAACTTAGAGCGCCAGCTGACGTGACTCTGAGGAGCATCTAAATATTGCCAGGTTTTGATTTGCAATGTTATTGCAATGTTACAGAAAAATTATCCAGAAAACCACTGAAACACTGCAGACCAGAATGCGGTTAGGAGTGGGGCAAAACCAGAATAGGTGGGCAAAAGACCCCTCACCCAATTGGCTTCTGTCACATACAAAGGATATTGATGTGATTCAGCATAACTGATTTGAGGGCTCTTGAATCTGTGGATCACAGTGCGTTATGATTCATGGCAGGACACTGATACTGTGTCAATCACAACATGGATATATTAAAGCTTACATTACCAAGCCACGTCACAGAGTCATATCTCGTTGAGGAGGCCAGCAATTAACTAGAAGAGTAGGCTAAAATATGCCTAAAGGCATCCTGTAGAAGGCAGTCATACTATGGTAATAGTGCTGCGGTATGTGGAAACATCTTCCAAGGGTTAGGGTCATCTTCCGTAATTCATCTTGCATTACGGAGCAGAAACTTTGAATGGTCTGTTGTGGGTGGAACACTGTAGTATTAGAAAACCCGCTTGTGGAACCTGCTAGGACAAAATTAAACATATCTCACCTCGCACTTATCCACCACTGGGTGTCGGACACAGTCTGAGCTATTACCCACTGTAACAGCTTTCTGGCTCTCATTGTCACCTGTGCCTTCCTCTGAATGTGTTCGGCTTTGGTTGCCACGGTGATTATTGCTCGGAAGCTGTGCAGATGGGCTCCTAGGTGGACGGCTAAGTTCTCGGCGCAGCGCCCGGTTCTCTTCCTCCACCACCCGAACCCGCAACTCTAAGGCCTGTCGTTCACCGGCTCCGCCCACCGGGGTGGATGACAGGGCTTCCAATGGAGAAAGAGGGAGGGGCTTCACTGTGGAATTATAACAGGGAGAAACTGATTTAACATGATTAAGAACATCAGTGTCAGTGGCCAATATATATGAAGTTGAATACTAATAGAAAAACCCACACTGACCAGCCCCAGTGTGGGTTTTTCTATACAGAGAAACCACTGATATGAAACGTCACTGCACAAAAACAAATCTAAATTGAAGCAGGTAAGTAGCTTGTCCAAAAAGAGGTGCGTCAAGTGTATAAGGCTAGAGCTACAGCTATTATTTATTCCTATCCATGGCTCATACCCATGGACACATCTTATTAATCTGGAATGGTACAACAGAAACATATAGTGCTGTGCTGCATAGTGCAGTTTTAGGCTTGATTTAGGAGTGGTACGACCATCTTCATTCTTCAGCACAACCTGAACTTTGTTGGAAAACTTTCTTTCATTTCTGAGGATTTTTTATGAGTCTGTGTGGCCAGTACCATTCTCTATGCTGTTGCTCGCTGGAGCAGCAGGTTGAGGCTCCCAGACGCCAAAAGACTCAATACACTGAACCTCAAGACCAGTAATGCTGTGGGGATGGAGCTCCCTTAAGGTGGTGTCGGAGGGGCGGATGTTGTCCAAGACAAGGACAATGCTGGACAATACCTCCCACCCACTCCATTACCTGGTGGCCAGTCACAGGAGCATGTTCAGTGAGAGACTGAGATTACCCATAATGCACCACTGAACAACACAGGAAATCATTCCTCGCTGTGGCCATCTCCCTGTACAACTCCTCCATCTAATGTACAATACTGTAGTTAGCTGCACCCTTTTGCACATCCTCTACAGTGAAAACAACAAATAACAAAGTTTTTCAGGTTAAATTACAATGTCGGTCACAAATAGTTCTCCAGGCTTCTTTTAAAGCTCTTCTTTGGATGTTTCTGTCTTTTCTTCCATTCTCTGTCAAGATGATCCCACACTGCTTCAACAATGTTGAAGTCTGCATTCTCAGGAGGCCAGTGAGCAGCAGATCAAATTATAAATGGTTTTAAGTGCACATTCAGACCTGTGAGACTCATTTAGAAATCAGACATTGAGCCATGGCTCTGTGCTACATGAAGACATTACTGCATCTCTGCCAGTCAAGGGCACTTTGTATATAGTTTATTAATTAATAACTGACATATGAAATGTTCTCACAGGCCACATTGTATCGCGTGCCAGATGTGGCCCATGGGCTGCATTTTTGACACCCCTGTCTTAATATTTTTTCCCCCAATTTGTATATTTATACATTTTATATTTTTGAATACTGTTCATATGTAGTGTTGTAGAAACTGCCCCCCCCCCCTTTCCCCACATGTCTGCACTGAGTAGGAGATCCTCTTTATCTCATTGTACATCTGTATAGTCACAATAAAAGGCATTCGACTTCTAATATGATTAACTTCCCAGAATGGAATTGTAAAGGAATGAAATACTTGGAACATATATTTATTATATTATATATTATTATTATTATTATTATTATTATTATTATTATTATTATATATTTATTCCATCTCACAAAATAGATATACAGTATGTGATTAACAAGATTAGATTTTTAGAATAACAACAAATTAAATCTATAGTAAAAAAGAAATTTAAACCTAATAAAATTGAATTACAAACATTAGTCCGTTTAGGATTTCAGCTTAGACCAAAACTTCTGGTCTCAGATTTGCTTAAAAACCTTTAAAAATTGATTAGAAATCTATTTATTTTAAAAACTTTTTGGGGGCTTCTTTACAGTTTACTTTATTTCTATGGCGTGTTACATTTTCCTTTTAAATTGCTTACCACTACTTGTTTTGTCTTATTACATTTTGCTTATCAGCTTAAGAGTCATCTGTGAAGAATTGTACCAACCTGCATAAAAGTGTCTTTACAAATAAACATTGATGTATGTAAGACATTTTAAAGAGCCACATAACTGCTTGATTCATGCTTTGTTCACAAACCAGTTCAAATGGGATCAGTCCAAGGATCATAGTTTCAAAATGTATAAACGCATTGCTTTGGCAATATTATGAATATGATCAAGCCAATAAAACAATTTAAAATGAACTGAACTGAGAGGTAGTGATAGAGTCAAAATGTAAAACTGAATTTGAGCCAGTAGTAGCACATCGGTCCTGTCTCACACATCCAGGCTTAACCTGCAGCCAGGCCCTGTCACAGCTTATCACACTCCCAGGAACTGCATCCCACCACCAGGAATTACTGCCAAATCTAATAATTACTTTGCAGACCTTGGTGACTATTCCATTATGGGAGTGTATACACATATACGCTCTCCAGTGACTGTGACCCCAAGTCAAAATTGCCAATTTAATCATAATTAATAATGGCACTACTGCAGCATTTCAATCCTGTGAGTCAAAGTGATTAAAATGGCTCCAAGAACTTTTGGACATTATTGTCTGGAGGAAGTAATCAACTTTAGACAGGCCTCAGTAATTCATTAACATACCACCTCAGGAAGAAAGTTGGGAGAGAAAGGTCACTTTGTCTACAGGAAATTTGTATCTTCACACTTTCTGGGACAAGCCTCGGGCTTTAATATTAAGGCATGACATGCACTGAAAAGTATGACAGTACTGTTCCTTATTTTAATCCCAGCAACCTAAACTTTTATCTTTACTATGGATGGCTGTAGCTCAGGGGGTAGAGCAGGTTGGTGGTTTGATCCCTGGCTGCTCCAGTCTTCATGCCAAATATCCTTGGGCAAGACACTAACCTAGAGTTGCCCTCTGATGCATTAAATGTATGTGATTGTTCGATAGAAAAAATATAGAAACACTGCTTGTATAAATGGGCGAATGAGGCAAGTCGTATAAAAGCAATTTAAGTGCTCAGATTAGAAAAGGACTATATGAGAACCAGTCCAGCATTTTGTTAACATTTAATCAGCTCAAACAGATTTTTCAAAATAGGTAATATTTATCTGTAATATTTAAAAACTTAACGATGTGTTAAATTTAGAAAAGAATAAAGTCAAAAACAAAATGTTAAAAAACAACAACCTTTTATCATGAATTTTTTAATTTTAAAACCGTTAGAACAGGAGAAAGTTTCCCAGTCTTGCATCACTTTTTTTAAAAAATCCTGTCCTGTCTGGTAGCTTTTGCAATCAGAATTATGATCTGAATGTGATAATGTACCAAACACAGTTTGCTTTTCCAAGAAGAACTCTATAGGCTCTTCTTGTTCTTGTTTTATGTGTTTATGTATTCATTTCATATTAGTGTTTTCATTATTGTTAGACTGTTTCAAAAATGGTCAAAAAACCCCCACAGAAACCTAAATAATTTAAAGCCATAAAAGTTGCAAACAACTGTGCCAATACTTATTGTCCTTACCTTGAAAGCTCCCGACTGACAGGTAAAGCCACGTAAGTGCTGGGATGAAGAGCAGGGCGAGGGAGGCCACCAGGAACTTCCGGCGCCCGCGACACATTCCCAGCATCCTCTGGACCAAAGCAGATAGAAAGAGAGGTAAAGTGACCTCTATGTGGGTAGGAGCTGCTGTCCAGGCTGAGTCATAGCACTGAGGGAGAGGAGAGACCAGGACAAAAAAAAAAAAAAAGAGGTTAGAGAAGAAGCACACATTTCACAGTCTACATAGATTGATTATTATAATGATTATTTTTTGATTCCTGACGCTGATGATGTTTGAGCAGGTTTACTCATTCAGCTTCAGAAGAAGGTGACATACACGGCAACTAAGGAATTTCTAGATAGCATGGCCTCTTGGAGAAGATAGGAAACCCTAAAAGCCATGCAATCTGCTCCGTTAGAATTTCATCCAAGTGTGTATGATACACAAATGCCATTTGGTGGAGATGTGACATCTGCATACTAAATTTTAAATGAGCGAAGAATGCGTGGTGGCCTGTCACTTTCCTCCTTACATGCTGCAACGTTTACTTACAGCACCAAAGCTATATTGTGTAGGATGAGGAACAGGTAAAAATCTGGGTTAGAATACCCAACCTGTTCCCAAGCAAACAAATGGTTCTGACCAAGCCTGCAGTATATGACTGCCTAGGAGTAGAAGTCAATCATGACAATAATTGGCAATGAAATGTATCATTGCCTTGTTAGGAAGCACAGGTTGTGCAAGTGGCTAACATTTCTACTTTCAAGTCAGTTTGGTTCAATTCAATTTATAGCACTACATAACAAAGTGAAAACTGCATCCATTTATTGTATACAATTGCAAATGTCAGATCCAAACATTTAGCTGTTTAGCTGAATATTTTTTGAAAGACTTTTTGACCAAAAAACAACAACAAAAACAAAAACAAAACAAGTTAAAATAAAAAACATCAGACAAAATTATTCAGTCAAACTGTTCATCTAAAACTTAAATCACACCTTCAGAAATGAAGTCTGACAACTTTCATGTTATTACATATCACATAACACATCAGGCAGTCACACACTATGTGGCTTTATGACCTAAAGCAATTTACCAAAGTCTGTCCACAACGAATATCGTGTTCAAACATAAGTGTCCATAAGTGCACGTGCCACCAGGACTTGGATTCATCAGGTGATGGCCACCAGCTCGCACTGGAACTATTCGGGGAAGAGTTTGAAGCGATGGGAATGAGAATCAGCACCTCCAAATCTGAGGCCATTGTCCTCAGCCGGAAGTGGGCGGAGTGCAAGCTCTGGGTCAGGGACAAGTTCCAGCCCCAAGTGGAGGAGTTTAAGTATCTCAGAGTCTTTTTCACAAGTGACATGAGAAGGGAGCAGGATATTGATAGATGTATTGGTCCTGCGGCTGCAGTAAGGCAGATGCTGTACCGGTCCATCGTGGTGAAGAGGAGAGAGTTGAGTATAAAAGCTCAATTTACCGGTCGATCCTCTTCCCTACCCTCACCTATTGTTACAAGCTGTGGGTAGTGAACGAAGGAACGAGACTGTGGATACAAGCGGCAGAAATGGTCTTCCTCCGAAGGGTGGCTGGTCTCTCCCTTAGAGATAGGGTCAGAAGTTCGGCCATCCATGAGGGGCTCTGAGTAGAGGCGCTGCTCCTCCACATCGAAAGGAGATCGTTGAGGGGGTTCGGGCATCTGATCAAGATGCCCCCAGGGCGGCTCCTGGGTGAGGTATTCCAGGCATGTCCCACTGGGAGGAGGCCCCGGGGCAGACCCAGGACACGCTGGAGGGATTATATCTCTCGGCTGGCCTGGGAACGCCTTGGTGTTCCCCCGGACAAGCTGGAGGAGGTGGCTGGGAAGAGGGACACTAGGTTTCTCTGCTTAGGCTGCTGGCCCCAAGACCCGGTCCAGAAAAGCGGAAGAAGATGGATGGATGGTAATTTGACATATTTTAGTTTGATGTAGAGCACAGAGGTTAAAAGTACAATTATATAATATTATTTGAAAAATCCTTTTTCCATTATAACTACATTTGTAGTTAGGGAAGCAATATAGTATCATAGTGTCACCCGGTAAAACGATGTAAAGCAGGCAGAGTTTAAAATGAAAAGTATTACCAAATCTGTTTTTTTGTCCTTTTTCTTTTTTTTTAAACATATGGCCTGAGCAAAGTAAAGAGTGCAGAGTAAAGTGGAGTGGCTGGGGAGACTTAACCAAGTGTCTCCACAAAATTCTGACAGGCAGGCTATGAATCATTTTATTAGGTCCTTAGCATTTGACCCTTGTGTGATAATAACTCCACTAGATCCTGTAATTTACATTACAAATGCTACACTGAAGAAATTTATTACCACATCCAAGTCAGATGTCAGAGGACAGATTGAACAAATCCAGCTATGCAGGGATCAGCCTCAGAGTCAGAACACTTTAATAATCTATAAGGAAATTATGTGGGGGAAAAAGCAGGCAGAAAAAAAGCATTGTTTTGAAAAAGCAGGAACACAACACTGGAGAAGGAAAATAGCATACCTCTGTATTTTCCTTCACTTACTAAGAAACAAACAGTGTCTCATTTTTATGGTGGTTTCATTTTGACAGCGAGAGAGAGAATATCAACTAAAAATCCAGAAAAAACTATTGGTTTGCATATAGTAGAGTGAAATAAGTATTTGATCTCCTACAAGAAACTGTGGCTCCAAAGGTTGGCTGTCTCCATGTGGCACACAAATTATAATCAATTAATCTATTTCAGCTACTCTTGATTGCAACTTGTATATGGGTATAAAATACACCTGCCCACAGAATCAGTTTCAAAGCAAGACTGTAGAGCTGTACGAGGCTGGAATGGGCTAGAAGACCATCAGCAAGAAGCTCTGTGAAAATATGACCACCGTTGGTACAATGGAAGACATACGAAATAACCATCAATCACCGCTGGTCTGGAGCTCCATGCAACATCTTGTTCATGGGGTGAGAATAATCTTGAGAAATGTGGTGGATCAGCTCAAAACTACACAAAAGACGCTTGGTAATGATCTGAAACCAGCTGGGTCCACAGTCACCAAGAACATCTTTGATAACATGTTACAATCTTTTGAATCATCTTGTAGGAACCACAAGGTCACCTTGGATCAAGAAATAAACAGGCCAAATTTAAGTTTTTCAGTGAACGTTAGAATGATTAAGAGAAGGCTTGGGAGAACGTGCTGTGGTCACATCAAACTAAAGCCGAGCTCTGTTGGCATGAACATCAACACTGTATTTAGAGGAAGAGAAATGCTTAATATGACCCAAAGAACTCCATCGCCACAATGAAGCACAGAGGTGGAAACAGAGACTGTGGAAACAGTCAGCACTGAACCACATTCAGCACTGGATCAGATAACTTACTTCCCCCATTGTAGATTTACAGGAAGAGACATACACTAATCAGCCACAACACTGAAACCTTGTGCTGTCTAATCACCTATGAGATCCACAAGTCCAAAAGTACTGTATAGTGTCCTAGGCGTTTAGCACTTAGCAGATCCATGGATTCAGTGTCTTGTACAATAAGACCTCTCTGGGTCGAATTTTCCTAGCAGAGTATTGCAAAGAACCGATTAATGTCATTAAGCTCTTTTGTTTTTTCTTGTTGTGGCTAATTGATTATATGCAGCACTGACAGATAGACATGACATAGATAAGGTCAATGCTTGGGAAACCAAGTTTTGATTGATTGGCTCTTAAATTCTTTAATTCTGTGAGAAGACCAGTTTGCATTACTGCTACAATAAATTACATCTATTTCTTGTCATTATGGTTTATAGTAGAGATCCACCAATTTATCACTTTCTCAATTTGTTGACCATTTCCTAAAATGTGTTTTTAGAGAAACTTTCTCCAACACTCTCCAGCAAAAATAAAAACAACTAATAAGATCACACACGCACAGTCCCCAAAATAGATCTTGCTCTTGAAATGTAATTGGGAATAAGCCTTGATGGGGAGTTTCTCACAGTATCAGAAACTGTGACATGTAAAATCTACTCTTTTTTTAAGGGTGGAGTTATCACATGACTCAGCATTGTCCACTGTCTATCTTAACTGTATACTTTTTGTACTTTGTTTTGAGAAAACAGAAAAAAAAGAAATATAGAAAAAGCCTTTACACTATTATTGGAAAAATTCATCCCGGGATCCAGCAAACAGCCCCAGACCATCACACTTCCTCCTCAATGTTTGACAGTTGATGTCACACACTGTAGAACCATCCTTTTACCTGCTCGAAGGCGTACAAAGATTATGCGTGATGAACCAGAAATTTCAAAACTTGATTCATCACTCCATAACACCTTCTTCCAGTCTTCAGTAGTCCATTGGTGTTGTTTCATGGTCCAGGCAAGCCACTTTGCCTTATTCTGACGTCTTAGCAACGGCTTTCTTGCTGCAACTCGTCCTGTCAAACCTGCAGCTCGAGGTCTTCTCTTCACAGTTGAAAGTGAGATTTTCTTACTACGACCACTATTAAGTTGTGCTTAAAGCTGTTTTTTTTGTGAGCCACCTATCATACAAGCTGTTAACTCTCAGAAACTTATCCTCTTCCTGTCAGAGCCCAAAAGGTTGAATCTATTCAACTGGACATAGCATTTTCAGTGGAAAAATGGTTTGCCACTTATCTAAGTGACTTCTTCAGTCTCAGCTGACTGTGGGTTTCCCCAACCTTATAAACAGTACCTTTGCACAGCGACTGAAACTAACCCAGTTAATGAACAATGGGCTGTGAGGTCAGTTTCTTGATCATTAATATGTAAAATGTCATGACCATTGATCAACAACCACTGATCAAAGACCACTGATCATTGATCAATGGCCATGAGTATAATAAAATGAATAGAATTAACCTTTTGGGATTTACTTTCCTGGGTGATTGAGCATGCATCAAAATGTTTTTTCCAGATAGTGTTTTAGCTTGAAGTAACTGCGTCTGTTTCCTCTGTAAAGCTGTGTGATTTTAAACTTTATTTCCATTAATGGGGGTAAATATTATTGTTTTGATTACCAAAGGGGTGTAGTGATATGAAGTAGAAACCTAGCATATCGACATTAAGAGTCAGAACTGAAACTAACATTTGAAATCTGACTTTAAGAAGATGAACATGTCAAAATATAATATGCT